AGAAGATGATGCAGCTGCTGGGTTTTGGCCAGTGAATAACCCTAATTTAGTCAGTTGATACTTTGCATGTCCGCCAGTAGTCAAGGGCTGCAAATCAGTGAATAAGAAACATCATCAAGCTTCACTGAGAGCCTGTAAAGGTTTTTACAGAGCAGCAAATAGAAGTATTAAATGAAAGCAGGGAAAGAAAACAACTCTTATATTCTCATCACCACGAGGGAAAACCCACCAGAAAAGAGTGGCATCTTTACCTTTACTCTGATCTGGTGACATCTCAGACTCAGCTTGTCAGGCTCGGCTTTGTAATGCTAGACTTGACTCGGCTTTCTTCAGTCTAAGCTGTACTCTCTCATCCTCAGGTGTGCTTTGAGATTATCATTGCCACGTTGACATTAGGTGACACTGCATGTTAGTATGCATAATTTGGCTGGTACTACCTCTTTACCACGCGAACCTTCTAATAGCAATTTAACCTAAGGACTAACAGAGATACCATCTTGGAAAGCTTGACTTACGATGATTTAACTCACACAGATGAACTCAGATTTCGCTTTATAGCATGTCAAACACTGGATTTACTGATTTGTTTGTTTTTCTATGAATTGTTCAGGCTGATATCTGCAGCAATATTGATGGTCAAGAGTATTTAGACACCTGTGTGCCATCACTAATTACTACACAAGCTGTGTTTGCATATTTAAACCTGTGGCCCATTGCACATTCTCATGAAGTTGATGAAGCGCTGAGTGAGACTCGTTGCTTGTCAGTGTAATAAAACATCGCTGATTACATTTTTACTGGTTGAGCGTGCAGTGTCAGCCCCGGCCTCTCGTGGTTACTTTTTTTCTGGTTATTTGTTCATCTTGGCGGCATCCCCAGGCCTAAAGAAGATGCTGTGCGCTGAGCTCTTTTCCCTTCTTCACCTTTAAACTAGAGTTAAAACTGGGAAATGATTTCATTTCTTTTCCCTTTTTTTGTTTTGTAGTTGGATTAATTGAGTTGTATGATAAAACAATATTTTTTTAAAAAATCACTTGCGCAAAATTCATGAAAAAGAAACTAACTGTAGGAGAGGACCCATGTGTGGGAGGCTGTGTGCATATGTGCAGGCTATGTGCCTGTGAGACTGTGTGCACCTGGAAAGCACTTGACAGATGGTTCTTCAGCTCTAGTTGAATGTCGCTTCTTTTTTTCTCAGTGTTAAGCCTCTTTCATAGATGGAAAGTGTTTCGGTCAGCATTTTGATCAAGGTAGACTCTTTCAGCTTTCTTGATTGTTTGCCGGGCATCTCCAGAGTATGTTTATCCAGCCCCCATCATTTATTTTTGTTTGATTTAGGCGAGCCGAGAGAGATCAGAGCCGTGACTTTCTCCACTGCGTTTTCTGCCTCTTTTTTTTTTTTTTTTATTTGTTTGTTTTGCCAGTTAGATTACAGAGCGGTGCATCAAAAATCATTATATACCACATCGTATCAGCGCGTTTTCAATCTGTAGAATGGGTTTAGTACTTTACAGAGACAGTAAATATTTTGTTTGGGTTAATGTGGTCTTCTTCAAAGTACAGTAATCTTGTTCTTTCTCTGTTTGCACAGGCCAAACTGGTACAAGAAAAACAAGCTGACCTTATAAGATGCATCATAAGTTAAAGTAAAAGCCTACCATGTCTTAGTAAGGTGTTGGGCCAGCATATACAAAGAGAACAGCTTCAGTGTGCTTTGGTATTGATTCTCCAATCTCTGGAGCTCTACCGGAGGGCTTGAGCACAGTTTTTCCAAAACATATTCCTTCATTTTGGGTTTTGATCGTGGTGGTTGACAGCACCTGTTCAAAAATCTATGCCCTATGTTCAAGAATAAGGAAAAACACTGACTGTTGTTTGGGTGAAGAAGCAGAAGAAGGTACTGCAATTTCACGGCAGGATTTCCAACATCATCATACATGTCAAAACAGAAAAACTCTTTATTGCCTTGGGACAGAAAAGAGGATGGATGGATAGTTTGTATTTAATTGCAGTGATCCTTTCCTCCAAACCAGAGCCACTGGATCCTTTCACTCTGGGGTCAAGGGCTCAACTTTTCTTCTCAATGTGTCCCTATTTGTTCCAAAATTAGGTCAGACTTTCATTCCACTAGCTCGTCATTCTTCCTCTTCACATAGGTAATGTAGGGCAGTTTATAAATATTTTTAGCTCAGACTTTGGATTCCTAACAAGATAATTGATTTACAATTGTATTATTGGCAAATTCTATTTCCGAATGACTCTCTATTTTTGTCTTGTGTTCTGTTGGGGACTTTTGCCCCTCACCAGAAGCCCAAACTGTGTGTGGAGTACACATTGTAAAGGCGTGGTTAGTTTGTGTATATGATAGCGTCACGCAATACAGATTTGTCAGCTCCACATCTATGACGCAAATCTCCTGTTCTATTATATCCTGAAGGTGCTCTATTAGATTGAGATCGGGTGACTGTGAAAGCCATTTGAGTACAGTGAACTCACTGTCAGGTTCAGGTAACCAGTTCGAGATGAAAATCAGCTGAATATGAGCAAATTAAGCCAAGTCTTACAAGAATGGACATGATAAGCAGCAGGTTTTGGGGTTTAAACCATGATCAGTTTACACTAAGGGGCCCAAAATGTGCCAAGTAAATATCCCCCACACCTTTATACCACCAGTAGCCTGACCCTTTGATACAAGTTGGGATGTTTTCATCTTGTTTAGTTGTTAGCCAAATTGTGATCCTGCCGTCTTAGCATCACAGCAGAAATCGAGACTCATCAGATCAGACAACATTTCTTCCAGTTTTCTGCTGTGCACTGTTGGGGAACCGTGTGAACTGTAGCCTCCGTTTCCTTTTATTAGCTGACAGGAGTGGCACCCAGTGTGGTCTTCTGTTGCTGTAGCCCATTTCACAGGCTGCGTGATCAGAGATGCTCTTCTGCATACCTCGGTTGTAACTAGGGGTTACTTGAGTTACTGTTGCCTTCCTATTAGCTTGAAGCAGTCTGGCAATTCTTTTCTGAACTACTGATCACTTGCTAGTCTCTGTTTTTTTTTTTTTACCCATTCTCTATAAAGTCTGGTTGTTTCCCATCTGGCACCAACAACCATGCCACATTCAAAGACATTTAAATCACCTTTCTTGCCCATTCTGATGCTCAGTTTGAAGTAAACAGGTCATAATGATCTTGTCTACATGGCTAAATTCACTGAGCTGCTGCCATGTGATTAGCTGATGAAATAGTTGCATTAATGAGCAATTAGCGGTTATACCTAATAAAGTGGCCAGTGAGTATAATTAGATGTGACTCCTGACCAACATGGTTTAATTATACTGGTTTCAGAAAGTAGGAGGCATCATACAAAACCCTTGTAATTTCAAGTCAAGCAACACATGTATTTTTTCCCATAAACTATGTCTTACGTAGCATAACTGTGGACATAGTAGGGCACAGCGAAAGGGAACGTGGCTTATCTCTGTCAGTAGTTGAGGATGTGCAGCCTGGTGCCTGCAGCTCACTGTGGCTGCTCCTTCTTTGTTCCATTAGCGCCTGCCGTATTTCAAACTGCGGGAAGATGCTGAAAATGACGACTGTCTTGTTTTGTCGATGCATATTTGATGAATGATAGCCTTTAGTGCAACACTCACTGATAGACACTACATTTGCGGTGACTACTTCATAAAAAAGGCCATTTGTGTTTCGCCACTTACTGTAGATGCTTTTAATGTGAAGCTGCAGCAGAAGGAAATGTTCTGATCGCATTAGCAGCAACTAAATACAGCTTCTTTTTTTTCCCTTTTTTTCTTCCGGGAAAGTCACCACAGACATGGGTGATAATACCGTGCATTGATAAATATTGTATTACTCTCAGCAGTGGGCCATAGAGCTCGATCAACACTGTGCTACCGCATTTGGCAATAGATGGATTAACAAGTGATGTTTCCAAAGTTGATGATTAATTGACCTCACTAATGCCATAACCAGCATAATTGCGAATTTTCATGATCATAATAAAAATACGTTTAGCATTCTCTTTGTACCATTAAAAGGTAGAGCTACTAGCGAGGACTGGATCAGATAATAAGCTGCAATGTGATCACCACTGAAACAGTCTGAGGTGAAAGTCCTTCTCCCTACAGTGTTAGAGGCAGCCTCTCATTGCAGAGTCAGATGAGGCCAAAGCATTAATCATAATAACATCATATCCTGCACTTAAAAGAAAAAATACAAATAACACAGACCCTTTAATACGGTTTAATTTGTTAGATGTTAAGGGGTTGTGAGTTTATGAAAACACTTGGTGTGTTGAGAAATATTGCTACATAAATATCACTTCATTTAGTTTACCAGCTAATTTTTAATTGGTGCAGCCTTGTGTGCGTGAAAAAAAAAAGAAGATTTTACACTCATGCTGATGTTGAATTGTTGCCGTGTTTCCCTCTTAAATTGTCTTCCTAAATTTAGCATGTAGTCGGCAGCAGATGTTTGTGCCCTTTTTGATACTGTGGGTAATAATCCTTAATATTCTCGCTGTTTGAAGCTAAATGAGGCTTTAATGCACTCTGATTCCATCTCCTAGCTCTCATTAATTGTTTTTTTTTTTTTTGTTTTTTTTGGAAAGTCCATAAATTATTTATTTATTTATTTTTGGTAAGATAAACAAACTTTTAAGGATGAAATGGATGAAATTTTAAATTCTCTCACAATCTGATTTGATTTGCGCGTCCGTCCGAAAAGCAATTGTGCAGAAAAGGCGCATGACTAAAATATTTTTGTTTTTCCTTCTAAAAGCTCAAGTGTTTGTGATCTTACTGGTGCTACTTTTTTTAATCGTTGTGTGAATGCATGTATTCCTGTTTAGCATCACACTGTCTTTGCTCTGTTACATCCTCCAACCCAGGTGCTGCTCACTTACTGTGTATGAAGTCTCATTAAAGGTGTTGCACAAAGCATTTGAAGCTTTGTCACTAATCATCTCCTGTCGCCCTTTTTCCTTCCAGATGGTCACAAGAACAAAGAAAATATTTGTGGGTGGCTTGTCAGCCAATACAGTAGTGGAAGACGTGAAGCAGTATTTTGAACAGTTTGGGAAGGTAAGACTTGTTTTTTCTTATCATCGCGCGTGGTGTTGTCACAATAGCCCGCACTTTAACGCTTCTCAATTCCCATTAAATGTTGGATTAACTCCGGTGTAACTTTGACCTCTTGACCAGCATCTCAGTCTTTATAGCTATCTCAAACGTTGAGCCTTAAGAGGAATCAGCAGGGCAGGTTTTTCCCTTTATCTTTACAGTTGAACAAATGAATATGTGTTTCGACAGGCAAACATCTGAAGATATAGTAGCTTCACGCAGTGCACCATGGCTGGTCAGCAACATGTATTTTACTTACAGAGCAAACAAGCAGTGACAACCAGCTGCCATGACCAAACCACCCTACAAAGAGGGAAAAAAACCTCCGAACAAAAACAAATAATGTTTTCTTTTTATCTGTGATAGCATAACATAAGAATCAAATACAACTCAGGATTGGAAATAAAGTTTCAACGGGCTATTGTGACGGCATTGGCACAGCCTTGTATTTAGCTGTCTGTTTCTTTATGCTGCTGCTTCGTGCTGTTCTCACACGCAAATCCCCCCACCCATGAGTGAGGCATATATGCACACCCATCTATACAAGGACGTATATATAGCGCTCTCACATGCTGACTCTAAAAGATGCGCGCACACTCACACACACACACACACACACACACACACACACACACACACACACACACACACACACACACACACACACACACAAACAGTCTTTGATACAGTGGCAGCATTTCACAGATAATTTCCCCACACTGAGCAGAGATCCATTTCCCTCATGTCATAATCCACATCAGTCAAGGTCACCTTCAGCTGATACAGTCCCTGTAACATCAGCACTTGACCTTGAGTTTAAACAATTTTAGTGAGGATGGATTTTTCATGGGCACATAATGTACCGCGGTACTGACGGAGACAAAAGAGGCCTTAGAAATTAATAGAAACTGCATTTTTTTTCTTGTTCAGAGACAATATGCAACCAGCTCTCCCCTATGAAGCCCACTGTTAGTTTCTTGACTGACAGTGAGCAAGGTGAAGGACTTTGTTTTGCTCCCTTTTTTTCAGTTGGAAGTGGCATCGAAGACCTCACCGTGGCCTGGCCTGCCATTCCAAATAAAGATGGCTTATTTGCACAATAGAACGCAGCAAGCAAATATTCAGCACGACTTTGCAATCAATGGATGTGAGAAAGGGCTCGAAATGATTTTCGACTTGATTGAATGACATAATTGACTTGATTATACAAAGTTTTTTCCCTCCTTGAGGAATCCTCAAATGCTTAGGAGGAAACAAACAAATCAGACTGATTGAGCGAGATCTTGTGCATGTTTCTGTGTGTGCTTTTATAGCCTACTTGTGCATGCTTGGATGTGTTAGCAGTACTGCTCTTGCCATGCGTGAGTGTGTCAGCGATTAAGTGTATTTATGTGGGTGCGTGATTAGGGCTGCGTGTGCGTATACGTGTGCACGTACATATGTGTGCGTACGAGCGCGTTTGAGTGCCTTCGGCACAAAAAAAAAAGAACATCAGAGGTTGATACTTGGGGCTATGGCAGACAAGATACAGAGCAAAAAAAAGAAAGTGGTTCTCTCTGTTTTGTGTGTGTCCTTTCTTTCAGCCTTACACATCCCAGGATTTATTAAATAACCTGCCTGTCAGTGCAACCTACCATTATCGCCACATACACACCACTCTAAAGACTTATCCACAGAAGGAAAAACCAATTAATTCAGTTTCCCCTTCATAGAATCTTGGTGGCAGTATGTGTGTCAGTCTGTCAGTCAGCCATCAGTCCGTCTTTCTGTCTGTCAGCCTATGTGCATGTCAAGGGGGACATTAGCCAGCATGGTGGCAGGGCAGCTAGTCATTTATATTTCTGGGAAGTCTGTTTTGAAACACTTATCAATCATCAGAGAACTTCAGCTTAAGGCACCAGCGAATGTTCTTTCTCACTGGGAACAGGCCATTTCACTGATATTATTTAGCAACTCCTCTGTCTATATATATATATATATATATGCGCTATGTCGCCAATTAGCAGGATGTGGTCTGCAGAGAAGGCGGTGGTTGGGAGGCAGTGAAGGAGAAACAGCTGGTGTGGCCACAATTGGGTCACAGGTTGTGTCTGTAACCTCCACACCTCCTCTCCCTCCCACCTCAGTCCCTCCCTTCTGTCTCCATTCTGTCACGGTGGAGATGTGGCATTTGTTATGGGCAGAGGCTGACAGCTCTCATGCACATCAGTCTCACTGCCACTCTCCCAGCCGTCACTATTAGGAAAGTGCCTGAGCCTGGCACAACTTCAGAGGAGCTGCTCCACAGCCAGAGACACTTTTTTGTCACCTACAGTACATGCTGGAGGTGTGCATTTGAAGTGATTGTGACAGTCATTTGAATGGAACTGAAGTGTGGTTGTGTTTGACTGATTCTAATGCATCTCAGATGGATCCCATTACCTGCCTAATAGTAGCCACATCCTGCCTTCCATTTTTTTTCTTTTTTCCCAGGCTGCACAATGCACTTTACCCCTGCAAGCCAGATGAGACAATCTTATCAGTACTGCCTGGCCTCCCTTTATATTCAAGGACTCTTAACTGGAGGCTGCTGCTGCTATTTCTGTCTTGCAATAAAGTCAAATTAATCATTGTGCTGTTTGTGCACTATGTGCTACTGTGCAGACTTTAAGAAAAGACTGTTAGCCTTTACATATAGCACTTTGGGTCATTTCCCCTCATATTTAGACCTTTCTTGTTGACATTTTTCCCATTTTTTTAATCTCATATTGCTAGGTTTGCAATATGCACAGTCACTTGTAAGCATTCTTAATTCATTTAACTCGTCAAAGCTGCCTTTGCTTTTGTCTGTAGTTTGCACAACAACAACAACCCTCTGCAGACTGCTTTTGTTTCTGCCCTGCACAGTGGTGTCACAGCGACCAAGATTTGAGCTATTTCCCACCAAATGCTGTGTAGATGGATCTATCATTATTAAGATTACTGCAAGAAGTTAATTTGATGATTGGAAATTCATTAAAGCCTTAGTCCTAATTAGAGATGGCACGATACCACTTTTTTATGTCCGATACCGATACCGATATCATAAATTTGAATATCTGCCAATACCGATATGAATCCGATATAGTGTTTTTTAATGAACAAAACTGTTTTTTAAATATCTTGCTGCATTTTGTATAAGTTCATACTCAAGTTTAAAACAACAACTACACTAAAGCTATTCTGTTATACCTGTATGCAAAAAAAAAAAAATTTCATAGTTCAGCAATACTGATCAATCTAATAAACTTAAACCTACACCATCCTCCCTATTCTGGTATTTTAAAGAGTACTTAGCATAAATATTAAGCAACCTAACTAATAGGGTTCCAACTCCCAGCAACAACAAAAATAAATAAATAAAAAATAAGGAACCACCCCTCACGCTCCACCTCATGATGCTTAATCGACGTAATCAACCTTAATTTGATGCAGTGTGAAAAAAAATGCACAGAAATCAATTATTTTTCAAGAAATATTAAATAGATTCAACATCTTTCTTCAACAAAATTGCAGACTGCACAGATGGTACCTTCCCAAAGGAAAAAGTACTATAGCTTACTAGGGTATATATTAGACTTAATAGTCACTATATACAATAATTGACTTCTATTCATTTTACATCAAATTAAAACTTTGGGTGTCAGATAATTATTTATTAAAAGCTAGACATTTTAAATGAGAATAAGAAAGAAAAGTATGTCTTTGTGCCCCCTTTTCCCTGTTAATGCCCTATCGGCCCCCCTGGCTAAACTTTGCTAGATCCGCCCCTGCACAGTTACCAGCCGTCAGCTACATAGAAAAAGATCCTCGAGTAGAAAGTAATATTAAATACATTCTAACAACAGCTGATCAAGCTTAAACATGCTGCTGTTGTTCAGCCGCTGGTTTCCTCTTTCTGGTGCAAAGTGGGCCAAAAGCAAACTAGAGACACGACTCACGACAGAAAAGCCGATCAGCTGATCATTAAGCAGTTTCATGATTGAAGTAGCAGCAAGAAGAGGCAGTCGCTCCATATATCGTTTGTTAAGCTTAACGCAGGAATGCTTTACAAACATTCAGAGATGGACTTACACACTTGCTTTACTTCTCTCGGGATAACTTTGTCGGAGATGAAATGCCGGGTTGCTAGCGAAGCTCCACATGCTATCCAGACCACCGACAGGTCCCGCATGCCACAGCCGCTCTATCATGTGATGCATACTGCTCCGACGTGCTAACGTTCTGAGGTGAGTTACGGCGTGTTTCAAGTTTTGTGAGGTGCTTTCGTGATATTTAATGGATCGGATTACATTTTTTATTTTTCTCCGATATCCGATCCAGTAATTTAGGTCAGTATCGGACCGATACCGATACGTAATATCGGATCGGTCCATCTCTAGTCCTAATCACTGTACTGCACCACCTGTCAAGCTAACATTCTCCACTGCGATTTAGACCGCATGAGCAACATCTCGGTCTCTACACTAGCTTTAATGTGAGCCCTCAAAGAAGCCAGCAGATCAGGTTTGCCTGTTTTCTGCCAGCAAGATCGACAAGATAAATAAATGTGTTGTGACCATGCAGTTGATAGGCAGTAGCTTCACAAAGCCCATCGTGTGGCATGCTCAGACACCATATATTTAGTTAAGTACTTAACTAAAAGAAATGTGCGTGCATAAATTGGTAACGTTTTCCTTTAAACTATATCTGTTGGGTTGCTGTCTAGATTCAAAAGAACTGAAATAATAAAGTTTTCATATTTCAAAATTTTGTTTTGGACTTAAGCAAGTATGTCATTATCATTTTCCAAACTCTATTAGTACGCCGATGTGACCAAAATGTCGCTGACGTAGGCACTTGATTAAAGATGAGAGTACGTTTGTTGACACCTCAGAAATTTGCATGCGGTGTGCAACCCGAGGCCTGCCCTGGCCTCAGACAAGCTCTCCCTGCAGTTAAAG